TATGGCCGAATTAAGCCAATCAATAAAGTACTACGTTGATCGTGAAAGGATCGTCCATAAATCTTCCTATGGCTGGAACATTTTTATTTGCATAAACACATTTTTATATGACAGCAGCACACAAAGCACACCATTAAATCATTCCACACATTTGAATTGACGAAATCCCGCCGATTGGCATTCCTACCAGCATATGATCCGATAATTACTGTCATTATAGTCATATTACAGCATCAAACATATAATTATTAAATTTGGCTGTGGACGAATCGTTTTATTTGTTCTGTGGCCTGCTAGTTAGTCCATCATACACTGCATACGCGTGTGCATGTCACAGCAAGCCATGATGAACCAGAAGGCAAAATAATAAATAATTTAAGCGACGGAGGCGTCATAGCTGTCTATGGTCGGTGAATATCTCCTGAACAAGCACAGCGTCTGTTGCAGACAAGAGAAAAAAAAGTGCATCTTATTTCTGATCTGCGTTTCGTCATTCATGGTGCAGACTACAGAGCAGCATTTCAAAAGTAAGTTGTAAATCCAGTGTGTGTTTTTAATTACCCTTTAAAAACAAGTTCAGCATATTGTAGTGGCAATAAAGAATTCTCACGATAAAGCGCGAGCGGAACGCCGAACGCTAATCGTTAATCAGATGCATATATTAATATACAGTACGGAACGAGTATCAACGGGAAACGCAAAAGATGTGCTCCAGATTTCAAGCAAATTGAAAAAATATATATTATTTTTTTATTACCATTTTCTATCGATCATGGGTTCGTAAAAAGTATATAGTTGTTGTATTCTTTTTATTACTTTACAGCTCTAATCACATATAGTAGTGTCACTTCCCTTCGTAGAACCAAAGTGCGTTGAGGAAGAGGCAAGGAGGAAAGCTACATAAAACCATAGTGTGACTTTTTTTTCAAACGTATACGATGGAATGAGCGATCGTAAATCAAGAGCTTCGAATCACTGACGAGCACGCTTTCGCCCGGTTGATGATTGTGAGCTTCGAAGCGATTGAAGGGAAGAATCTTGGAACAGCCGACGGCTACGTTATCGGTATCGTGTGGTGGGAGAAATCAATCCATAGGTATTTTATTGGCTGGGAAATTACCATATTTTTTATTGATGCTAATAATTGCCAATATTTAATATGCACATATGAATCATTTTGTCGCTTCATCGTGGTTCCCTTTTAATCTAATTCTAGTAAACTAATCAGATTTTTTTTTATCAAAGCACGCATTTGCAGCGCACGATGGAAGCAAAAACTATGGCATAATTTAAAACTCAAAGCTTAAACTTTAAAGCATGTGTAATAGAATGATTGATTTGAATTGATTGTTTAAGAGCTAAAACGCTATCTTGCATGTCTGTGTGGTTGGCATGCATTTAAATTTCAAAAAGCAGAACCAGGAAGGAAAGAAGAAGGTGCAACATGTGGTTTATCTTAGAAATCTTTGAATTTCACCTGTTCAAAAATTCAAATGGATAATAAAACAAACTATCCATTCGCTTACTGTTCCTTAAATGAACTGCTTATTATCTGATTCACATTTTCACTGGGTCTGGAGGTTCTTGGAGCCATTAAGATGAAAAATGACACGTGAAGTTGAGTGCTAAAATTATCATTCGTACTGATACAAAAATAGAAGGCAAATTATGAAAACACGATAACGAGTACATGAAATGATGAACTGTTACAGACCATAAAATAAAACACCACGGATGAGTTTCCATTTCGCACGAGGGAGATTACCCATAGCAACACAATGATCCCGCGCACAACTGCTTGGCGCATCCCGACACACTGGGAAATACTAGTGGAATTGGCTAAAATCTCAAAGCGACAATTTCTGTATCATAATCGCTGCTTGATTTAATGTGACACTATTTAAGGTAGATTGAAATGAAATGAATGTAAACCCATAGTTAGATGTACAGATTTCAACGGAACAAAGTCACAAAAAGCAAAAAAGACTATGACGCTCTGTATGTCACGATTTCAAATTATAGTTCGTTTGGTTTAGAATTTCCAACACATACTTTACGCGTTGCTCGCAGTCGTCTGTCTGCCATTGCTGTTAGTGCTGATGCGGCCACTGCTGCTGCTGGTTTGCATGCTTGGTAATGTAATTTTCACTCGCTCGTCGTTCGTCGTGTATCCACCGCACCAAGTCATTTCGTGGTGTTCTCGCCCGATGAAGATGCTGGCCTGATGATAATGAATCCCTCACTTTTGCCTTCTTAGCTCCGCGCGATGATGCTTCATCTGTACATCATTTACCGTGCGCGAGAAAGCGAACCGAAAATATATACGCAGTCGAGCACAACATCAACACACCAACAAAACAAACCGAAACGAGAAAGGCAAGCAATGCGATCAATTCTCCTAGAAGGGATCCTTGTTGGAGGTTTGAGTACACTTGCAACTGTTTAAGCTATAGTCACACGCACACGATACATAAATTAACATCAGATCACAATACTTTTTGCCTGCAGGCTTGTTCGAGAGCGATTCAAATGGTTTTACGTTTATGATGTGCGCAGCATAACTTCTGCGTTGCTGACACGGAATGATCTTCACCACGATTCTATTTTTGTGAAAATATTCGACTGCTCGCCCCTACTTGGAGAGCATGTCGCCGTTTCGAAGAATATAAAGAGGCGAAAAAACGAAACTGCCGCGCCGAATAATATTCGATGACGTCAGCCGTTAAAGATTCATTTTTTGACTTGTCAGAATAAGAATTTCGTTTTTAGATCTGTTGCAAATATAATTGGTGTTTAAGTTTATGTTTAATAATATTTTTTACAATAATCGGACTATTTGAGAGAAAATATCATTTATCAAGGCAAGCAAAAGGGTTGGACAAGAACTTTAGCATTTGACTTATTTTCAGAGTTAGGTATATACAGCATTTTAAAATTTTAGAAAAAAAAATACTGGCTCCAGCGATTTACTGGGTGTGTGAAAACGTCTGTTACATTCAACAGAATCTCAACATTGAAAAGTTTTTTTTCCATCCAGCATGAATGTAGGGAATAGTAGATGACGGTGAGGGTTGTGTGCAAGCGTGACTGGTCGTTGTGATTTTTCTAAGCAAGACAATTAAAGGCGTTTCTGCCGAGTCCACGAAAAATGTTGCGAAATGGATTCCGGTGGAAAGTAAACTAAAACAAAAAATTATAACAGGATAAATAGCAACAAAATAGGACACATTAATTATATTGTAATTCCCAATAAAAAAAAAACAAGCGGTTAAAATTCAAAAGAACAAAATTCAACCAATGCACGAATAGATATAGTAACATGAAAGCCTCTGAAAGCATACTGCGAAACACAAAGTTCGCACATGACGAATATTATTTGCCTGCAGTGTTCAAAAATATCCCAAAGAATTGCAAATGAATACATTAAAATTGGCTCCCTCGATCGTCTTCTGCCACAATATTTTTGCATGGAACCGTACAATAACTTCTGTTCTGTGTGAGTTGGTACCTTTTTTTGCGCGCTACCTTGTGAATTTTTTATTTGCCATGCATGACGAAAGCTTTCGAGCAACGCAGCAAAACTCTTGGACTTGTTGTTTCTCTTTATTACTGACAAGGTTACGCTGTCTTGTTTCACACTGTGGGTGCTACACGTGACAAACTGCCCAAAATTCGTGTTTCACATCAGATACCAAACTAGCACGAATTTAATTTTCCAAAATATCTTCTGATTCACGCATATTGGAGATAAGAAAAAACAGCAAGAGTAAACCTAGACGAACGTTGTTATCACCGAGACTCGTAGAAATGTTGTCGCTATCAGTAATTTTATACACGGCTCTGCTACTATATTTTCGATAACGTTTTGACTAACCTAACAAACCTCGCCGAAGAGATAGCACTATCATTTCCAAAATCACAATTGTTCGCACTGAAGACTGTCGAAGCAAACAATATCTGTCCTATTGAGTTTGATTGATCGAAGGTTTTGAAGCTATGGGGATTTGTTTAGGAATCAAACGAGGCCTTACGGCGAAATCCCCAAAAGTCCAGCAGCCCGAATAACACCATCTATTGATAATCGGTAGGATTTGACGTAAAGTACAAAGTCACAGATTAATAGCAAAAGGCGCATTCTCTCTCTCCCTTATCTGATAATACATTCGACCCGCGCTACTGAAAAGTTAGTAAATGTGGTGATGGTTAGATAGGGTACCACACACTCGAACACAAAGAAAAAGATAAACCTTCTAGCTCAATAATTGCTCGATACCAATATTATTAATAATTATAAACCTATCCATTAATTGCCAAACACAAAGTGAAACATAACGCTCGAATTTTTTCCATAATTTTAATTTCAAACATTTTAACCTCAAGTTTGTTTCTTAAACAATTAACCATTCGATTGCGTTAAGCATGTTAAAAGTTAGAAGTTTATTAATAGCCAAATTCCAGATTACTGGAATTAAACACGATTGAATTTGGCAACACTTGTAGTTTATTTATCCTCCATTGATACAATTGACATACAACCCTTCTCTCCAATTGCATACATTACGCGTTTTGTGCATCTTTCGACAAACGGTCGGTTGCGTTTCGTAACCATCTCCGCTACATTAATTGAGCAATAGCAGGGCTATGCTTAATAGTCAGATTGAATGTAGTAATGACGGGTGTAAGGTAAATAAGCAAACAGCTGTCATTTGATCAAGTTTAGAGTGCGCACCCTTCATAGCACTTCAACAGCTTTTCCGACTATATCAATCAAACCAACGAGCCAACTAAAATCAGCAAAATACGTCTTTTAAAATATCTGTACAAACATGTACAACTTGTGGACAAACAATCGAAAAATCGAAACGCTTCCTTATCAAACGGTGACCGTACCTTCAAATCGAAGCCAAATTATAGAATAAAAAAAAAACGTTGTTTACTGAACACACACGCTGAACAAATGCTAGATAAGTAAACGGTTTCCAATATCCAATTTGACTTACCTGTTTACTAAATACTGCCACATCCTCACTGAAGGAATCTGACGAACAGACATCACCACCCGCGACACCTGGTTCTCGCGGCGTACACGTTGCTAGTTCACATTTTTCGAATATTAGTGCCAATAGCGGGAATAGAGGGTGCCTGTAACAGGAAGAGAGAAAACATTGAAATCAATTAATCAAATTTTGACCCCCTGTACATTTTGGTGTGATTTGATTTTTACAGGAAGTCCAGGAAGTGGCCACCTTTACGCCTCTTGGAAAATAACTTGAATGGGACCCACGCGATACTGTAGATTCAACTTCGAATGAGAAAGACCGGTAAATACCAAAAGTGTAAGCAACGGAGAACCCTGATAAGAGCTAGTTATTTCATTTTTTGGAAGATAAGATCATACTACCGCGTAAGGTGACTGTTTGCTTGCTTTATTATTACTGTGGAATGCTTACTGTTGCTGCTGCTGCGGTAGCAAGCTTGTTGTGTCAACAAATAAAGTTTATTGTTCAATCTCGAAGCGATTGTACAATTTTCTCCGTCATTTTTATGATATTTGTTATTGACAGTGACGAGCTGATGTAGGAAAGTTTAATGACACTTACCACTTGACACAATCCAGAGCGCCACAATTTTTTTTATAAGAATGTACAAAACAAGCAAAAATTATAAAACTCATCTACCTACTACTACCTATGTCTTGCATTCATTGCAGGTAACATCGTCCATTTATGCATCAAATTTACCTTTGCCTATACTGCACAAGCTAGCCGGCCTCGGTTGCCATAACAACGCTCATCTATTTCGGGCCCGGTGTTGCTAGTGTCGGGCTCACATTTACTATCAAACGAGATGAAATTTAAATTGAAATAAACAACCGACCTCAGTTTCGTGGTGGTAGATTTCCATAAGTTTCTTTGTTGAATGTGAACGAAATGTTCTGCTTGCACGAAAGCGGAGCACGCCATGTGAGACACTGCCGACGCCGGTATGCGTAAATATTTTGATAATGTCACTAAATATTATACTTTTACCAATTGTTTATATAGTTTTCTGGATGGTTTAGATGGTTGTTTAAGTAAGAGAGCCTTGGGCAAAAAAAAAGTGAGCAAGAAAGTAAGGACTTCCTCGATGTTCGTTAGCACTGACTGCCAACGCCACCAGAAATCACTAAAACTAGCGGAAGTATCTAAATAATGAAATAATATTCAAATACCGAACCGTCGGAGTACTGTATAAACATGCAACGGCGACAAAAAGTTCAACTCAAAAAATTGCAGTGGAAGTAAAACCAGATTGTGAGATCGACGGTCTACGGAGGATTTGGGAGACGGATTCTATTGATATTTTGATGAACCAATGAAGATGGCTTGCAAAAAAAATAATCACAGTTTCTACATTTTTATGATGTAGGTATCCAAATATGTTTCCATGACACGCTATGGTCTGTTCTGTCAAATTCCCTCCACTTTCATTATATTGCCAATTCAGATAAAAAAACATCATTGCAATTTGCAAATTGAACCTGAAATTAACGCGAAACTTACTGTCGGTGCCGGTGAAACATTTACATTTCTACATTCCAAAAATTTCAAAAAATGATATCAAAAATCCAGATTCTTCCTGATATTCTAGCAAAAACATGTTTTTTGTGCATTATGATGCCAAAAAGCTTGATATAAAATACCGCAAAACCAGACCTTACGATTTTGTTTTTTACCCAACTTTTTAAAATCAGAGTGCCTTCCATTCAATAATCTAAATTAGCAGGTTTTTTGTGTCAAACACAAACATCACAAATTTTTCTTGTTACTTACACATACAAAATATCATCATAATATCTATGATCCCATAATTCCATACAACATTGTTTTAGTCTAAATGAATGGAAGGCATCCTATTTAAAATGAATAAATAGATAAAAAAAAAAGTTTTTACACGTAAATTTTCTTAAGAATCACAGGTAAAAAAAAAAACTACGAATGTCAAATAATCTGGAATCAAGCCAAAACAATCATGAAAATTTAAATATAAGGTTGCTATTTTAATTGTTTACACAGTTTAAAATATTTTGTAATTCGTGTGTTTCCATGCACATATTAAATTAAATTGAACCATAACCCAGGATGGGGTAAAAGTCTCTCTTGTATGTAGTAAGTCAAGAGTTATTTCAATCAAAGGATTAACGATTCCTCGATCCGAACTGTGTGCTGCATTTTTGCTTATCAGATTGGCCATGAAGGTTCATCCGGCAATCAAGATGAATTTCCACTCAATCCATTATTGGTCGGATAGTCAGATCGTTCTTGCATGGCTAAAGAAGCCCCTATCTCAACTTGCAGAAATTGTTGATCATTCTGTTGATGCTAATGGAATTACATCAAGTCGTCCGAAAACCCAGCTGATGTTGTCAGTCGTGGTCAACCCTCCCAACTCCTTGCTTCGAATGAGCTTTGGTGGAACGGACCTCCAATTCTTCGAAGTCATAGCTTTCAGATTGATGAGCCTAATCCGCTTTCCGATGATAAATTACCGGAATTGAAAACAGTAACCGTGTCTACTGCAGTCTTTGTCCCTGAAATCCTTCCAGTTATGACTGCCTTTAGTTCATTCCGAAAGCTTCAGCAAGTGATTGGATACTTCAGGAGATTTGTTGTGAATGCAAGGTCTCCCAAGTCGGAACGTATCACTTCGGAATACCTGACTGTGCGAGAGTTGAAAGAGTCATTGAATGTGATTGTTAAGTATGTTCAAAGAGTTGAGTTTTCAGACGAAATTCGTCGGCTTGAATCAGGTGAACCTCAGGTAGACTCAGTAGTCTGAATGTTATTATAAATGATGGTGTGTTGAGAGTGGGTGGAAGACTGAAGCATTCTTGTTTGCCATATGGTTCAAAGCACCAAGCCGTACTCCCTGACAAAAACCCAATTGTCGAATCGTTGTTAAGAGCAATGCACTGCGAAATGTTGCACATTGGTCCGTCTAGTCTCATTTCATTGGTCCGCCAGAGATTCTGGCTTCTAAATGCTCATTCTGTAGTCAGGAAAGTCATCCGGTCTTGTGTTCCTAGGGTTATTTACATAAAACAAAACTACTGCTACTACTTCTACTAATACTACTTCTACACTACGTTCGCTCCAATCGCGAACAAAATTGGTGTTTGAATTTACACGACGCTAAAATTTACATGCATGTAAAATTATACGTCACTTGAATTTTACAGACTTTAGATGGGCTCATCTTGTAATTTCACAGAATATTTAAAATTACACGCATTTTATTTCGCTTATACTTATTTGAATGAGATTATTTACCATGAAATTGGGTTATTCCGGTGATAATTCCGCGAACATGGCATTCGTTTTTTATATTATTCAGTCGAATTGATAAAACAAATGTGTACCGTTTAGGCACTTTACTTTGCGAAGATCATAATGCGCAATCACATACCTAATTTTACACGTGAAAAATTGAAAAAAGTTTCCGGAGGGGGCACTTCTGAAAGATGGGGGAGGCTCCAGAAGGGAGTTCCTTTAATATGGAATACTTATGTGATACAGAGTGATATCTAAGGTACGGTTATTGTCTTTTGATGCTGACTCATTTTACGTTGGGAGGTGGAGGGTTTCCTGGGATGGCTGGCGGAGAGGAAGTCCTTTTCTTAGCTGTGGTCGTGGTTGTTGAAAGTGTTAGGGCTGGTCGTGGTGTGGTGTACAGGTAGTTGTCCTCATGGTCGGAGTTGAGGGTATAACAGCATGTATCATTGAGGGGTCCGCTTTCGGAGGTAATGTCTCGGTCGGCTGTAGTCATATTCGAGAAAATAGGCCTGCCTCGCGGAGCAAAGCCAGTAGTGCCGCTGAGCGGCAAGGATCTTCACTGAGGGCGTCTCGGATGCTGCCGGGGATGTCGAACAGGTTTCTAGCTCCTTGATATTGCGGGCAGTGGCATATAAAGTGTTCCACCGAATGGTGGATCTGGCACAGTGAACAGGGTCGGTGGAATTCGCCATTTCCCGTTATGTTGTGTGAGATACGGGTGTGTCCTGACCTAAGCCTGGAGATCACCACCACCACTGGTCAGGTAGGTCCTCCCAGCGGCGTGTCGCATCTTTAATTTTACGGATGAACATATTTCGTGAGTCCAGCCAGTCCTGCCTCCAAGACTCCCATGTAATATTGGAGAGCCAGGTTTTCAGATCCGGGCCTGGAACTTTTCTTGTTAATTTGCTCATTTGTCGACCTGAAGATGCGAGGTGGTCAGCTTCGACGGTACCCTGGATCCCACAGTGATCGGGTATCCAGGCGCCGGTGGTGTTGGGTGGAGCAGACCGGATGATGGTTTGGATCCACGGGTGTGTGGGGTGCTCGGCGTCAAGGGCGGCTACCACGCTGGCGGAATCCGTGAACAGGACGATGGGTTTGCTAGACGGTGTGGTGATGGCGACGTAGGCGGCGGCTGCCTCGGCGGAGAAAATGTCACATTGGTCAGGGAGACTGGGGCACACACTTACATCGGGGCCGGAAAACCCAATTCCAGCTCTCCCTTGTGCAATCGAGCCGTCGGAATAGCGGATCGTATGGTTGTTGTAGCGACGGTATATTAGGTCCCTGTGTATTTTGGGCCGCCTTCACGGTACAGTACATACCCTACACTTCCAACATTGCATCAAAATGATCAGTCAGGAGAAAAACGAACCACTAGCACATTTTTGAATGTTTTTCTATTTTTCAATATCAAAGTTTTTGATTTTCTGAACGAACTAAAAGTGCTCTCTGTATAAAACCGCTTTAATCAATATTTTGTCTATCATCCATTTTATATTTGTGGACGCGCATATGCACGATAAATCGTTCCACATCACCAAAACTGAGCTCACAAAACATACAATACACTTTTTCCGACATTTTCCACTATAGAACCCAAGTAACAATTCTGCAATCATTTGGCATCCACTCTGATTTATGATGGTTTTATAATGGTAATGAATAATTTATTTAGTTTAAATACACCATTTCACAGTAGAAAACGTTCTATTGGTGTTTTAAAAACCTTTTACATTCTGGCGAGAAGTCAAAAACTGTCTTGTTTTAAAATTAAATTTAAAGTAGTTTTCAATCCCACCATAAAACTGTTCTAAAAATCAATCATAAACTTCATTAGTAATTTTTTATTAATGTCTTGATAAAATACTCTATAAACCTGTTCTATCATTATTAAAGCAATCATAAAACCATTTGGTTTTAAATGAGAGTAAAATGCGTATATTGTTGCCTTCAAGGCTTTTACACTTTTGTATCATAAAATCTCCTCTGTTTACAAATTGAACTTTAAGGATGGGTCCTCATAGTAAATAAAAAACCAAATTTATGACAAGGATATCTCGAAGCATAAACAAAGTTGGAGGAAAAATTCAAGCGATGCTAACGACCGAAGGAAAGTCGATTTCAGTAAAATTTAGTTCTTTAGAAGAACCAGCACGTCCGGCTGAACGGGTACCATCAACGACTGAGCATCTGGTGGAGAAGAGTGAAGTGAGCGTGGTCCTCAATTTCATACAACATTGTCAAAACAGTCTGAAAACAGACCAGTCTACTCCAGACCTTGCGAATAGATGAAAATCGGAATAACTTGCGTCAGTACCGACAGAAAGCCACTGAAACTGTCAGTTAGCGGAAGTGTTCACAACACCGTTGGTTTCCGATCCATAGCTGCAATTTTATTCGGTGAAAGAGTCATCACTTGGAAAAAATTCATTCATATGTACATTCCTGCATCGTTTGATAGTGCACTTCCAGAACCATCCGGAAGAAGGGGATCTTTTCGGGAATGATCGAGGTTACAGATGTGCGAAATGCGAAATATTGTGAACACATTCTGAGTAACTGCTTCCAAGACATCGGGAAAGAATCGCCTGGAAGAACGCTGAATCAAGGGGGGAGCTGGCTGTCAAATACGAATAATCGTCGCCTACCTCGCATAACTGGTTCCAAACGTAAGCAAGCCAAAAGAAACCTACAGCGTTTGTTTACGTTTGGAACCAGTTTCATACAAGTATGATCAGTAGGTTGATTTGACAGTACGTCCCCCCCCCCAGCGCTGAATCGCAAAAATATATTTTTTTTTCTTAATGTTAAATAATTAGTAAAATCGATGTTTTCCGTGGGCGGACTCAAGTTTTTCGATGTTTTCACGTACATTTCACATAAAATTTTATACGGTACATAAAACTAGGCCACTTCATGAGAACTATTTTATAATTTTGGAAATTCGGCAGTTTTTATTTTAATTATTTTGATAAGATCGGATGGTATTTATGAATCGTTTTTTATCTTGATTGTTGTTTTTCTAGTAAACTTAGCAAGCAGCTAGGGTAAATGGCTCGGATAATGGTTTTAATTGTTGCCAAATATCTTTTATTGTAGCTTAAATACGGTTTTGAAATGGATCTCAATGCGTTTATTGTACAACCATTTTGCAGTAGATCAATCTTGAAGAGCTTCGAAAATATACCCTTAAGAACCTTCTCCAGAGTGGGCCAAATAGACAGATTCTAGCATCGATGAGGTTTTGCTGGATGCATCAATGGCAAAGCAGTCTTGACCAGGGTTTTATGAATGTTGTTTTATAGTAGCTTTGTAGTATTTCATAAAACTTAAAATGTTACTTGGGAAGTGACTCGAGCTATACGCGGCGGAGAAAAATATGATCGAATAATCGGTCCGTCCGCTATATTAGCTTTCTCAATGTTTGTTGATTTAAATTAATCGAATAAACGTTATGAGTTTCATCATGCTCTATTAATGTAAAATAAAATTAAAACATAGTTTAAAGCTATGTTATTTTAAAATGGTTTTGGTTTACATTTCATGTAAAATTCCTTATTTTTTGCTGTGTAGTTTTCTGCTCAAGTGATAATCATAATCACAGTACGATCACTTTTTAATCGATGTGAAGAGTGGGCTCTGAATTACTAATATGTGAAATAAGCAAAAAAGCGAGATATAACTAAAAACCAAATCAATTTCATGTAGGGTAGAGAACTACTTAAGCCTAAGCGCCCATTTTGGGCATATCAAGCAGAAAACATAAAATAAATCAATGATTTCGGGGTTAACAGGTAAATTATGCATTTGGTACGATACTTCTGTTCAAATGCTACCGAACGAAGTCAATAAGAACGCATGATATGAATGTTTGCACCCAATATTCTCAAAAACAAATGAAGTGCTCCTACCGAATCATGTTTTATTTTCATCCCATAGGCCGAAGTGAATTCATTGACGTTTAAATGGCGTTTCAATGCGTTAGGCCGAATTTAGAATCCATAGGCCGAGTTTGACGTCAAGAATCAGTGTTAGACTTTTAACAATATCTCAACAATTTGTTTCTCTTTATCAAATCTTATGGTACTTACGGAAAGGTTAATAAATATGCGCTAGATTAAGAAAGACTAAGTGCGGGTTGTACTTAATTGGCCGGAATATAAAATAAATAAAATATAAAAAAATCGCTGGATACATGTTCCTTCCCCATGTATCTTTTTGTTGGTCTGTTCTTCGTCCTTGACGTTTTATATTCTTCTATAACTTACGCATGCCATCAATCTATATTCTTGTTTCAAGGACTGCAGGATTTGATACTTTTATCTGTTTCGAACAGTTGCATCGCACAACTTCACATCTGTGCAGGGTACATCAACGTTTAAGACTATATTTATACTCAAATCGATTGACACAAACCGGTAAGGTACATTTTATCAGTTTTTGTAATGTAACTGAACAAAAATTTAAAGTAGCCCCTAAATATTATTGTAGATTTAAAAAGCGCGATAAATTTCCTAATTTATTAGAAGAATTGATCAATAGTTTCTGATTTGAATAATTAGATTAGATTTCTTTATTAAAGAGACTTTTAGCCGTGGACTTGTTCGTCTCTGAACAAATAGATTTTAGTCATTCAAAACGTTTTGGTTGGGGGTTTCTTTGCATTATTTCAGATACAGTACAAACACAGATCAATAGGTACCGTAAAACAGGGTATCTTTAATAATGCGGGAAATTTTGATAGTAGAATTTCAGTCAGTCTAAGTTAAGCTGTGGTTTGCAAGGACTTTAAGAGACCGACTTTCATCTTAAAAGTGACAAAAATTGATGATGTTATCGAAAAGGCACAGGGTAAGATTATTTTGATATTATATCAAAACAATTATATCATTAATTTTGCAGGCATAGAACACGAGCAAATCCAGAATGGAATATGTCACCCAGTGTTATGAAGATCGCCAGTAGATAAAGCTGATAAGCAAATAAAGCGATAAATGAAACATGATGCTTCAAAACCACTGTAAAAATTATGATCCAGTTGAAGATCTAGTTACAATTATTTTGAAAATCAAAATATTACCATGGATTTTATTGATCACCAAGTTCTAAAAAATACCTGGGCAACAAAAACATGCGGTTTTTTCATGACTTAAGGGATGGATACGTTTGCGTTCCGTTGACGTAAATTTTTGTGGTGTGGTGTTTTTGTTTGTGTTTTCCCTATACACATCATCATGGAGCATTTAATAATCAACAATGATAAAATATCACTGTCACAACTGTCACAACATTAGTGAATTTTTGCCCCTCCGGTGCTCAATGGTGCCAGGGGTATCAAAACGGACGTTAGAAGTTTGATGTCTTCAGGAATGTTTCTTGGTATATAAAACTCCTTCTTATGGTATAAGCTATTTAGCGATTAATCCCCTTACAAGTGATAAGGAAAATCGATTTTTTGTAAAATACGAGCTAGATAGTTGTTGTGTTGAGCAAAAGTGTAGAAAGCTGTAGAAACCAACTATGCTGAAGATCAGCTCTACCTCTAGCATGTAAAATATCAGATTGTTTTGAAAAATCATTAAACAAATCAGTTTTTTGACTGTAAGATTGTCTACCATTTTCTTACAAATTTGATATGTTGTACAAAGTAGTTTAAACAGTAAAATATCGCTAATTTTCTCAAAAC